GTGACACAAGCCACAGTATCAATGACAAACATACAATATAATAATCATAATGTACACCAAGCACTACACAAGTTCTAGCAAGTCCCAAAACAGCAGAGCCGGATACAGTATAGTGCACCACTACATAATACTCTGGTTCGCTGTTAAAGTGCTCCTTCAGTGCTTCTGTAAGCTGCAAAGTTTTGTGCTGAACTCCTTTAATAGCTCTTGTGTCTTGTTGTTCAAATTCAGTAAGCAGCCACTTTTCCCCCATTGCTTCATCCATATTATGCAGGTCACAGCAGGTATCTGTAACACTGGGATATGTTTCTCACTGAGATCTGATCTCACGGGTAAACAAGTTAGCATCCTTTTAGTCTAGCAAAAGCACATTCAACTGTCATTCAGCACCTGCTGATTTTGTACCTGAATCTTTCTGCTGTACAGCATCCAACTTGACAATTTATAAGTCATGGGAGCAAGACTTAGACTGGGTCTCCCAGGATCAGTATTGATTAACATTTCATCATTTGCTAATGGTCATCTGCTAGGTGGAGGGCACAGGGTGTCCCTGCTTAAAAGCTTTCTGAAAAGTCCTGTGTACTTAAAGATACACTTTCCATGACCAGTTCACCCTGATGCTGGTGGCTTATACCTGGGGATCCACCAATGCTTTCCTAACCATAGAAAAGTTGCCCTTTCTGTTGATGTACTCTGCATGAAGGTGGTCTGGTGCCAAAATAGGGATATGCGTGTTATCTGTCATTCTCTCAGTTTAGGAGCCCTATTGTTGCAAAGCCATCTGTGTCTCCTCCATGTTGCTGAAAGTCAGAGCCCTTCATTGCAGCATTGATTTAAGGCCCAGCATACTGGCATGACAAGAGCCCCAACACTGGTTTTTCCAGCTCCAAACTAATTGCTACCAGTCAGTGGGTAATCATGCATTACAAGTGTCCACAGTGCAATCATCATCACTACTCCACTCTGTGTTGTTTTCATTTTAGTGTCCCTGCACTGCAGGTCTGGTTGAGTTCAGCCCACATATCCAGGAATGTGGCATTTCACATTTGGAAGTTCTGCCGCTGCTGCTAGTCACCCCAAGCCTGCATTACAGTGCAATCATCCCATTTCTTGGGACCGCAAGTGGCATGCCACCATCTGCAGCTGATCTGCATGGGCCATCACCAATCTTGAATAGGTTCTCCTGAACTCCTGCAAGAGTCTGTCCTCTAAGAAGTCATCATATGTTCTGCTGATTCAGGTGTTCCTGTAGCTCTGCAAATAGTGGAGGATCTTGGGTTCTGTGCTTCCAATGCTTATGTACTGGACTGTGGCAAGTTGCTCGCTGGGGTACCTATCTATGGTATGCTATACTGTGCATCAATACAAACACTCAGGGTGTGCACGTACAGTGCTGACACACACAAGGAGAGGAGTATGCCTGCACACCTGCAATATACTCATTGTGGTGGCTTAATGACAATATGAATTGCATTGACTCCAGTCTATAGAGTAGACATAGCCAAAGTCTAACACTGTGCTCTTCAGGGTATTATTACCACTAAAATGCACATAAAATTCCCTTTGCTATTTTGCATATCTATCAGTGTCTTTAAAGCGACAGAAGCTGAATTAAAGTACTATTGCTATTTGGCTTATTTTTTCTTGCTAAGGTTAAACACTAATTCAAAATAGCAATTCTTAGAAACTGTTTCCAAACAGATGCTAGTTCTGTACACAAAGAATATTTACAACATAGAGAAATTTGCTTAGGAGTAGAAAAAATAGCATCATGGTCTTTCTTTTTCAGAGAAGTATTTGGGGGGTGGGGAGGCAAGTCTTGCCATATATAAGCAAACTATCCACAAATCTGTGAGAATTTCCAAAAACTCACTTTTTTTGTATTAATATTTTAATTCAGTGCATAATCTGACCTCTTTTGGTCACTCCCTAGTAAACTCATCACCAACTTAGAAGGTGTTTTGAATCATAGACTCATAGGCTGGAAGAGACCTCAGGAAGTCATCAAGTCCAACCCAAAGCAGTACCAATGCTAACTAAATCATCCATGTCAGGGCTTAAATACTTCTAGAGATGGAGATTCTACCACCTCCCAAAGTAACCCATTCCAATGCTTTACCACCCTCCTAGTAAAATAATTTTTCCTAATATCCAACCTAGACGTCTCTTCTCCCCCCCTCACCCCCCATGAAACTTGAGACCATTGCTCCTCATTCTGCCATCTGTCACTACTGAGAACAGCTTCTCTCCATCCTCTCTGGTAGTTAAAGGCTGCTATCAAATCCGCCTTCACTCTTCTTTTCTGTAGACTAAACAAGCCCAAATCCCTCAGCCTCTCAAGGCTGCACTGATCCCCTGAAGTGATGTATTACATATGTCTGTTATATATTTCCTATCAAGAAACACATTTTGAGAATAATAAGGCCTATCTTGCTGAAGGGAATTTTGAAAATTGCTATATTCAATATAGCAACTGTATAGTAGAAAAAAGGTTAATTTATTCTATATCCACAGAAGAACTACAACTCTGACATTTCATCAATGCTTATAAATAGGCTTGTTTCTAATCTATACCATTCTAATCTGTGGAATAAATGCACCTTCTGCAATTTCAGGGTTATTTAAAGTGGCCTGATTTACACAATTTGAATTGTCAGGAGGCAGGGTCTGATAGTAGGACACTTTGGACAGAGACTTTGCCTATCATTTGTGTCCATTTGCAAAAGGCAAGACACAGTGAGGCTGGTAAATACAGTACCTGTTAAATTACTTGTGCTGCTACCACTCTAATAGGGGCATGGCTCTGCTCTCCAAACAAGACAGCTCTGTGGACCACTGGGAAAAGCTTATGCCACCTTTTCTGAAGATGGCAGACATTCAGTTAGTTCATATGTTTATATGGGAACTCCAGGAGAAATTGTTTCAGCCAAAATTCCTCATGATGGCTTCTACTGTGTGGAAGCCACTATAAGCAAACTGTTTTTCTATGCCTTAATTTAGGCCTCTCTATTGAAATTATTCAGGTTGTGGGCTCATTTTTAAACATGGGGATATAGATTTAGAGCCTACCCCCAAAAAATTATTTCCATGGCTTGGCTTGGGGGTCTTTCTAATAATAATGAATAGTTTTCCAGTTCATTACAGAGCAAATACCAAATTACCATTGTTCCTCTGCTTGTTTCTTTCATAACCATCAGTATTAGTTCAGCCTTGACTTCCTCACCACTGGGAATGGAAGGTTTTATTGATAGCAAAGATGACCATAATTTTTATGGGAGGGACTCACCTGTAATTACTGCAAATTGATAGAAAGTCCCAGTAGAACATTTAAAGGCTAATATCCTTTGCAATAGAAAACAAAAAGCAATAAAAGGCCTTGGCAGATGATTAAGTGCCAAAGCAAACCTAAGGCACTTGATAACTGCAAATGCTATCCAATACCATACATAATATGATTCTTATTACACAATAAAATGAAGGAAGATAGAACAAACCACAAAATTACAGTGAAGGGAAGGAAAGAAAACAAAGTGAAGCCTATGTCCAAACAAATAGATTTTCTGTAAGCTTCCCCATTTGACTGTCCAGGAGAGTGGCACATATAACTGTTGTAGATAGCCCTGAAGGAAGGCTAACTTTCTGCTGAAAAGTCAATAAACAAAACCAAACCAGAATAGTGAAGGAGTATAGTGGCTTGAAACAGAATTTTGCATTATATTTCACTAAAATAAAATATATCCTGGTGAAAAATGTACACAACTTAATAATTCAACCTTTAGTTAGCAAAAAATAGCAGAGGAAGAGAGAAATAAAGAGTATGATAATGGAGAAACAAGATCAAGGAAAGCTATTTCAGATCTGCAGAAAAAGGACTCATAACAAGAGAGCAAAACTATATAAAGGCCAATGGCTGGAGACTACTGTTATAAAAGTGGGAGGCATACAATGGGAAATGGACACATTAACCATTGATATAAATTGGCCTTGACTTTGATGGAGCTATAGCAGTTTACAACATGGTTCTTGGGGTCTTGCACAGGGGCAGATGACCATTTTGCGGGGCCCTGGGCAGCATAATTCCTCAGGGCCCTCCCCTTTGCCACGGCACATGCGCAGTGACGCCATGCGCATGTGCAGCGGCACCAGGGCGCATGCGTGGGGCTTTCTGAAGCGCAGGGCCCGGGGCAGCTGCCCCGTTCGCCCTGCCCTATATCCGCCCCTGGTCTTGCAGCAAATAGGGGGAGGATTTTAAAAACAAGCAGAAGAGCTCTGTAATAAAATGGGAGATGGAGTAGAGATGTTTGAGGAAGAAGATGATACAATCTTGTTAGCAGAGGTTAACTGGCAGTACTTTGTATCTTTAGAATCTGGAGATTTGGGTCCTAAGGAGGCCTCAAAGTGAGAGTTCAACAGTCAAAGTAAGAGAAGATGAAAATCTTATTCATGTCTTAGAGATGGAAACAAGGCAATAACACACATGGCAAAGTTACAGAGACTTACTAGGCATGCAAGGGGATGGAATGTTCCTATCCAAAAAATGATGGTATAATCTATGGATAGTTAAGTAAAATGAATTATCTAATTCTTCTCTGGGCTCCCCCGGAAACTGTGGTTTTGCCCCCTTCCCAACGCTGGTCTCTGCTTTAAAGGCACGATCCTATATATTTAATAGAAACATTCAATGCTGACCACTTGTATCTTTCCCATAATGTGTTTTAGAGAGCAGAGGGATGAATTGCAGAGGATAAACTTCAGCTGGGGACTTACGTTCTCCCCACAATTAGATGCTTTATTTCCAGTCCCAAGTTAACATGTGGTACTGTGCAAGGTAAAATATTATGTTCCACCTCATTGGTAGTGACACTTTGTAGATGGGTCATTTATGTGTTTGACTGTAGTTTTATAAAGCAAGTTAGGATCCTACAGACAAAAGGTCTATCAATCTCATAAAAATGTCTGAAAGAGAGACACTTCAAATAGTAAGCAGTTGTGGAACTTACTTTTGGTAAGGTTAGAGCTAACTTGCATAAAGGTGACATGTGCTGATAGTCATCAGGCTGAAGGGGTTGATTCCAGTTCTTGGCTATTGTTTCTTTGGTCATTTTGTAAAAGACTGCAGTTCCCTTGTAATGAGGTGAGCTGTAGTTACCAAATTCATCCACTTCTTTAAGTTGGAGCTCCAGTCTGGGCTTTCTTTGTGAATGAAAAATAAGCCTGTAGGCTTTTCCAAAATTCTTCCCATCATCTGTATGCAATATAAAAAGATGTATTTCTTATACTGAGTTTTAATGTGGGGTTCTACAGTATATGAACATAATCTTTTGGGGAGCATGATAAGTCAATAGGACTTATACAAATAAAACAATATAATTGTTTTTAGGACTGGGACCTAGGTATGAAACACAGAACAACAATTACATTTTCCTGGCCATTTAAGTTAACATTTACATTATATTTGCAGTTAGCTGCCTCAAAGTTCCTCTGAAAAGAGTTGTACTGCTGGTTGAAAAGAAATGCACATGGAGATGACAAAATGAGTGAATTACAAACCACGGAGAGAAAGAATGAAAGTCCATGTTGACAATGAAATTAGTACGACAAAAGGAAAATATCATATATGAGGCTCTAGGAAATAATCTGTGCTATTGTGTCAAATATTATATTTTTTACCAGATTAGCTGGTCAAAGTTCAACACCCTTCAGGCTGTTCCAGTTGGGAGAGAGATTGATGATGGAATTGGGTGCCTTTGACACTACAGGCAGTCCCCCGGTTACGTACAAGATAGGGACTGTAGGTTTGTTCTTAAGTTGAATCTGTATGTAAGAACTGGTGTCCAGATTCAGCCTGTTGAAACTGATCAGCGGCTGATTCCAGGAAGCCCAGGGCAGAGCAACTCTGCCTCGGGCTTCCTGTAGTCAGCGCTGGTCAGTTTCAGCAGCAGCTGATTTGGGGACGCCTGGGGGTCTTAAGTTGAATCTGTATGTAAGAACTGGTGTCCAGATTCAGCCTGTTGAAACTGATCAGCGGCTGATTCCAGGAAGCCCAGGGCAGAGCAACTCTGCCTCGGGCTTCCTGTAGTCAGCGCTGGTCAGTTTCAGCAGCAGCTGATTTGGGGACGCCTGGGGGTCTTAAGTTGAATCTGTATGTAAGAACTGGTGTCCAGATTCAGCCTGTTGAAACTGATCAGCGGCTGATTCCAGGAAGCCCAGGGCAGAGCAACTCTGCCTCGGGCTTCCTGTAGTCAGCGCTGGTCAGTTTCAGCAGCGGCTGACTTGGGGACACCTGGGGCAGAGCAGCTTGGGGGCTGCCAGGGTGGTTCAGTAGCGCCCAGAGCGGCGCTACGAGACCAACCGGCAGCGCCCCAGCTGCTGTACCACAGGCGTCCGGAGCAAAGCCGCGGAGCACGGGGGCAGCGGGACAGCCCAGACACGCCGCGGCTGTCCTGCTGCCGGCGTGCTCCGTGGCTTTGGTGCCCGTCTCCCTGGTCTGCTGGTTTCCAGCAGACCAGGGAGACGGGCAGCAAACCCCGTTCGTAACTGCGGATCCGCCATAAGTCGGATCCGCGTAACTCGGGGACTGCCTGTATATTGCTTATTTACAAAGGATAAATGTTGTCCTTTTTTGTCTTGAACACAAGAGGAATACAAAAAAAAACCCCAAACCCAGGCAACTATATCTTTGCACACTGGTGCAAACTCTTTCACCTTTCCCCACAGATGCTTTCTTGGTATACTTTTTTTCCCAAGGTTGTCTTAGAAATTGTTGCTCAATCTCCTTCCAGGTCGCCCTCCTGCTTCCTGCTCTGTCACACATACTCTTTCTCAAACAATAGACAGAAGAGTTCTCTACCTACATAGCCCAAATTTCTGTGTAGACTTAGATGCTTCTCTTTGAGATTGCTATTGTTTCTTACGTTTATTTTAACTGAATGAAGAGAGACCTTTAGATTCATCAGTTTAATGAACTTTTAACCCAGCTGCTTGAGATGTATATTATCATGTTAGGCTTTGTCTGAACAAGCTTTTAGGGACAACAACGTCTTGAAAGGCCGTGTCACTAAAAGCTGGGCAGTGTAAACACTGTTGAAGCTTAAGCCAACAAAATATTTCTATGCTCCTCCCCATCCCAGCTGCATTTGCTTTGTCAGAAAAAGAGCACTCCTGCTAACCAAAACTGTTTACACTAGCACTTGCCTCTGCTGAGTTTTTGTCCCTCAGGTTTTTTTTAAAGCATCTGTGAATGACAAAAGCTTTGTTGCTCAATTGCTAATGTAGACAAAGCCTAAGTAAACCTTGTATTATTATGACTGTAGGAAGGGGGAGGAGTTGCATAAATTTCACATTTCCTGTTTTTTTGAGTACAGTACTTAACTCTGCATCTTTAACATTTCATTCACATTTTTTATAACTATGCAATATATTTGAGAACCTGCAGACTACTATTTTTTTCATACTGGTTTTTATGGTATGGTTCCCCTTTGGAAGAATTTATGTAATGTGTACAATGTCACATCTCAAGGTGATAAATTGCATACTCATGATTAATTGTAAAACCTGGCAAAGAAGAGCACAAATATTTGCATAGGATTTTCTAGATGGCCTCTTGCTACCTCTGCTCCCACTGCAGTGAATGGATTTTTACACTGTAATAGTTAATGACAGTAGTTAGATCAACTGTAAGCACTCGTGAAATTTCTAAACAGCATGTCATCATCACATTAATAAATTCAGAGGACCACCTGTAAAATCATCCACTACATTCAATTAAGTTTTTCCAGATTTACTTTTATGTAAATAAGCAGAATCTGTCCTTTTAAAATTTTAAGTCACTTTGACCACAATGAAATGTACTTAAAACAGCCATAAAAAGAGATTAGTAGAAAAGAGAGCGGTGTGGGTAAAATATTGGCCTTATTGAAGTAACTGAAAAAATACCAATTAACTTCCAGTGGGCTAGGATTTCACCCTATGTATGTCTTTTCATGTAATCAGAGTGGAGAGGTTGCCTATCCAATTATAATTTTACAAAATATAACAGTTGAATAAGAACTCTGAAGCATGACGTTCCATATAATTACTTAAATGCAAGCTCACTATTTTCAGCAGCTGGAAGGAATACCAAGTTCTACATCATATCATAGTAATTCACTTGATCGGTTGCACTTATATTCAAGAAAGGGCCAGTTTACCTGAAGCAAATATGTTGCCACTAAATCTAAAATGAATCTGCTCTCCTTCTCTTAGTTGAAACTGTTGAGTTGGTTCTGGAGGACCAAAGTACCCCTCCTCATGCAGGCTTTGCAACTCCCGGTTCAGTTCTTTGGATGGAACTAGTAAAACAACTATTTTATGAGGGTTTTCTTTTTTCCGATATAGCACAACATTAGCCAGTGTGCTGCGAATGGCTTCCTCCAGAGCCTGAATAAATAGAACTAAATGTGTATCGTCCATGGCAAACGAAAGGCGAATGACAATAAAGCTGTGTTAAGAAGAAACGAGAGAAGAAAATATGTAGTCCCTCAGGTGACACTTAATTCTTTATTGAATGATAAATCATTTTATTTACCCTCTGCAACTTCTCAAGCAAGATAATACAATGGTTCAGATAATTGATGACCGTTCTATCATGCTTTCTTCCTCATGGTGGGAAACAAATGCTCAGATTAGTTTCCTGGATATCAGACCAAAAGTCAAGCTGTTTGGGATTGAAAACTTCATTGAAAAGAGTCCCATGTTGTACATACTTTTTCTCAAAGTAAGGCCATACATAATATTTTCAATTGTGAGTTTGGCACTTATCCTAAGTCTCCCTGACTTTCAACAAAAATTCCATTGATTCTAATGAGAGAAGAACTGGGGCTATTAGTAATATATTTAAAGGGAAAATGAAATGTCTTTTGTGCTGTGTACCTTTTACATTTAATTGCCAGAAAATATTATTGAGTTAAAACAAAATAAGAATGGCTAGATATGTATATGAATTACTCATGCTTCTTGGCATACAATACAGTGTTGAATAGCTAAATGGTCTTGGTTGTAATAGTAAGATTATACCTCCATCTGAAATACCAACTAATGATGCTGACCAATGTTACACAGACTATTAGAATAAACCCTCAGTGGTCAGATCAAGTATGTTAATCCCTATTTTTTTTTAGTTCTCACGGAGACTTAAAAACCAGCTGATTAATAAAAATATTGTAATTGGAATAAGAGGGTAACTGATTTTGAGGGAAGTGGAATTAATGTTCATTAAAATTTTTATAGATGTGATGACTAATAGTATATAGGACCTTCAGTTAAAATAGATATACTCATATTTGATCAAATATATTGTAATTACAAAAATGTAGTACATACATTAGAAGATAAAGATTTTAAATAGGTATATTTTAAGATTTTGTTACATATTTTAATTGCAATATATTTATGAGTCAATCTATAGGGGACTGATGTTTTTCCCCATTTTTCTTCTTGACATATTTACAAAGCTTTTCGCTTCTAGAATCATCATATATATAGTAGCCCAGTGTCTGTGACTCTGTAACGCTAAAATGCTGGCTGTTCCTTCTGGGCAGTGCTGTTGCCTGAGTCACGTCCTTCGCCTCACACCGTGGCTCTTAGCTGACTTCTGCGCTGCTCAGCCGGGCTGCCGCAGGGGAGCAAGTGGCGCAAGTGGCCGTTTGGGCACTGCAGTCCCCATTCAGCACTCTCAGCCGAGCACCATGGCGGGAGGCGAAGGGGGGCGGGACGGTGATGTGCACGGCCAGGGGGCAGGGCCTGGATGAGCATGCATCCCCAACGGAGACAGAGGAGAGTGGAGAGAGAGTGAGAGGCAGGAGGGGGAAAAGAGAAAGAGAGAGATGGAGAGAGGCAGAAGGAGGAGGAGAGCTGAGAGAGAGAAACAGTAGGAGGGGGAGGGAGAGAGAAAGAGACACAGAGTGAGAGACCAGAGGCTCAGGAGAGAAGACTGACGTGGAGGAGAGACCTGAATATCCCATCTTACGATGGGCTAATTGGCTAGTTTAGAATATTAGCTTAATGGAACAAAACTCCGGAAAGCTTTTGACGAGGTCCCTCACCAAAGGCCCTTAAGTAAAGTAAGTTGGCATGGGACAAGAGGGAAGGTCCTTTAATGGATTGATAACTGGTTAAAAGTCAGGAAACAAAAGGTAGGAATAAATGGCAAATTTTCCAAGTGGGGTTCCCCAGGGGATCTGTCCTGGGACCCATCCTATTTAACCTATTTATAAATGATATAGAGAAAGGGGTAAACAGTGAGGTGGCAAAATTTACAGATCATACCAAAGTGCTCAAGATAGTTCAGACCAAAGCAGAATGTGAAGAGCTTCAAAAAGATCTCACCAAACTAAGTGATTGGTCAACAAAATGGCAAATGAAATTTAATATTGAGAAATCTAAAGTAATTCACATTGGAAAAAATAATCCTAACTATAAATACAATATGATGTAGACTAATTTGGTTACAACTGCTCAAGAGAGAGATCTTGGAGTTATTGTGGATAGTTCTCTGAAACATCCACTCAGTGTGCAGCAGCAGTCAAAAAAGCAAATAGAATGTTAGGAGAAATTTAAAAAGTGATAGAGAATAAACCAGAAAATATCTTATTGCCTCTACATAAAACCATGGTACGCCCACATCTTGAATACTGAGTACAGATGTGGTCGCCTCATCTCAAAAAAGATATATTGGCACTGGAAAAGGTTCAGAAAAGGGCAACAAAAATTAGAGGTTCAGACGGGTTCCATATGAAGAGAGATTGAAAAGACTTGGACTTTTCATCTTAGAAAAGAGCAGACTAAGGGGGGATATGATAGAGGTCTATAAAATCATGACTGGTATGGAAAAAGTGAATAAGGAAAAGTTATTTACTTATTCCCACAATATAAGAACTAGGGGTCACCAAATGAAATTAATAGGTAGCAGGTTTAAAACAAACAAAAGGAAGGTTTTCTTCACTCAGCACACAGTCTGAAATAAAGGAAATGCAGTGGATCTAATCTACCTTGACTTTAGTAAGGCATTTGATACAGTACCACATGGGGAATTATTGGTTAAATTGGAAAAGATAGGGATTAATATGAAAGTTGAGAGGTGGATAAGCAACTGCTTAAAGGGGAGACTACAGCGGGTCATCCTAGGAGGGGGTGGGTGAGATTCTGTGGCCTGCATTGTGCAGGGGGTCAGACTAGATGATCATAATGGTCTCTTCTGACCTTAAAGTCTATGAGTCTATGAGACAGTCAGCCTGTGGAACTCCTTGCCAGAGGATGCTGTGAAGGCTAGAATTTTAACAGGGTTCAAAAAAGAGCTAGATAGATTCATGGAGTTTAGGTCCATCAATGGCTATTAGCCAGGATGGATAAGGAATGGTGTCCCTAGCCTCTGTTTCTCTGGAGGTGGGTGACAGGGGAGGGATCATATGAGGATTACCTGTTGTGATCCCTCCCTCTGGGGCATCTGGTATTGGCCACTGTTGGCAGAAGGATACTGGGCTAGATGGACCTTTGGTCTGACTCAGCATAGCTATTCTTATGTTCTAATAATGCAAGATAAGATAAGCCCCTCTAACAGACCCAGATGTAAATCTGGATATTTGACATGTGTAATAAACACAATTTACTGCCACTTTTATGAAACTTAAATGTTAGGTGTTCAGTGTTAGGGCATATTATAAAACCATATATTTTTCTTTCAGATTATACAGTAATAAATTATAGTGAAAATCAGAGGTAATTGCTGAATTTGTGCATAGTAATCTGCACTTTCAGCATGCTCCCAAATACTTCCCAGTTCCACACAATATTCTAATGTTCAAGGTTTTGAGATCACAATCCTTATTTGTGCTGAACTCCCTTATTTGTGCTGAACTCTTAGACATGAGTAGGGGTCTATCAAGCATGAAGACTGCAGAACTCAATATGTATGAAGTCATGTGGGAAAAACAAATCACAAATTGATTTTCAAATGTTTAAATGTATTTTCATCAACTGTGGTTAGACTCATGTTGTTTTGGTTCTCAGGCATGATCTATCAAACAAAGTTTGTTGACAGGAATCTTTACATAAACAGAATTTTCAGTGAATACTGGAGACTATATATCAATATTCAAATTTTAAAACTCA